CCATTCCCGAATTATAAATAAGTTTAGCGCTAGCACGGGATCAGCCCGTACGAGGCTCTTCGCGGAGGATCTGCTGGGGGGGAATCTGCTGCCGCAAACGGCGTGTGACGCATCGGCCGCCGGCTACGAGGAAGGCGGTGGGAGGCCCGCGCCTTTCCTCGGGGGCTGGGTGGCGTTTTGGTCGTTCGTAACACGAGTCGCCGCGTCCCACCGCTGGTCAGAAGAGCCCTTCGAGTGCGGTTGCCAGCCAGCCTGGGAGCCCAATACAAATATCAGGTGGTGGTTGTGAGGAAAAGCGGCCGTTAAATAGGAAGTATCTTCTGAGCGTCTTTGGTGGAAGACCAGTCGGCCCTGGCCATCGTCATAAAAACTCTAACCTTTTTCTTAGCTGAATGTAAAGAGCTCAGTGTGAGCTACTAGAGAAACAGTTAGGGTATTATGTGGTTTCACAGATGTACTTTATGCAGATCTGTGGGTTTTAAGCTTAAAAGTTCGGTAGAAGCACATCTGTCAAAACACATTCTAATGCTTTAGGATGCGTTCATTTTCATACGTGAACAAAGAAGAGTTTATTGAACGTATTCCCCTCTCCAGCAGAGCACAACAAAAAGCTAGTGTCATGCTGATGAAAGAGGGTACAGGTATAACCACTGCTTTCAGACCACTGGGATATGTTTCATTGCAGTTTTCCTCTCTGTCTTCTAGTTAAAAGTGTATGACAGTCTTACCTTCCATGCTTTGTTTGCTTTTAGTGGTCAGACAGAATGGCTCCAGTGAACCAGCCAAAGGGCAAGAAGCATGAGAGGGCACATGAGCATTGGCCGGAAGAGGCAAAATCAGCTGGGAAGAGGAGACCGGACTACAAGGAACTAGGGAATGAGCCACAAGCAAAGAGGTTGTTTGTGAGAAAAACGTCCAAACCCCCAGAGAAAATCGGTAACATTTCCTCAGATCCTTTCTGTTTCTCCCAAGCAGATTTATCCTAAATGACAGGCATCGACTAGTTGAAGAGGGAGAATGCCAAGAAGCGTGTTCAGACATGAGTGTTCAGATGGGGTTATGTATTGAAGTGATACGCAGGCATGTATTGGGGTAGTACATCCTGCAGTTCTCTGTCTAGTGAGTGTGTGTGTGCGTGCATGCACGCATGTTTCATTTTTGAGACTCCGTACCTCTTGGTAGAAGCCTGCTCGCTGAAGATGCTGTCACAGCTCATTTGAGGGTGGTTAAGTTTTGTAGAATTCCTGAATTGCCAGACATCTGCTTTATTGTAGGACAGACCAATCTTGGTAATACATTGTTTTTTCTCCCATGCAATTCTTAATGCAGTTTCATAGTTGTAAGGTTGGTATCCTACAGCATGCAGTCTGAACTGGCATTTCCACCCGATTCTTTGCATATTCTAACTTCTGCTACATTAAGTAGAAATGCTTTCTACCTCTATGTTCAGATTAGACTGGACAAAATTTCCGCTAATCACTTCTCCTCATGGGCATTTTTTTTCCTTTAGTATGTAACTTAAAAAAAAAAAAAAAGTCTTGAAGATTTTTGATATAATGAGGAGAGGTGATTAAGTTCTAAGATACTGGAAAGGTTAATGCTTTGCATTATCAAGAAAGTTGTGTAGGCTTCAGCTACAGTAAGGACTATTTTCATAGAATCATAGGATCGTTTAGGTTGGAAAAGACTCTTAAGGTCATCGAGTCCAACCGTTAACCTAACATTACCAAGTCCACCACTAAACCATGTCCCTAAGCACCACATCTACATGCCTTTTAAATACCTCCAGGGACGGTGACTCAGCCACTTCCTTGGGCAGCCTGTTCCAATGCTTGACAACCCTTTTGGTGAAGAATTTTTTCCTAATATCCAATCTAAACCTCCCCTGGTGCAACTCGAGGCCATTTCCTCTTGTCCTATCACTTGTTACCTGGGAAAAGAGACTGACATACACCTCGCTACAACCTCCTTTCAGGTAGTTGTAGGGAGCGATAAGGTCTCCCCTCAGCCTCCTTTTCTCAGATAAAACCTTTAATTCCATTGTTTGTTTAGGAGATCACTAGAATTACTGCCTTGTGTGGAAATATTACATGCTTTCTGTACAATTTTAGCTTTAAGGATCCAAAAATGACTGAAGTGTTTTTCAACAGTCAGAGATACAGGAGTTCTACGATTTTGTACATTTCCATTGTCTGGTGTATAACTCCAAACTTGGAGCAGTTGGCAGTGTGAACAGTGGATGTGGAGGCAACTCCTTTCTGTTTAAAAGGAGTTCTGTGTATTATTATGGATAGTTAAAGCACCTTCTGTAGTTAATTTAGCTACATGATTTTCATGGTAGCTTCATGGCCTGATTTTCAGATTTGGTGAGCATCTGCAGTTTCTGTAAGATTCAGAGAGAATTGGATGTAGCTAGTACTTTGGAAAAATGAAGCCAATCATATTTTTCCCTTAACCCTTTTTTAAAAAGACCTTTGTATTTAAGCTTTTCCATTCTGTGTTCCAGATTTGATTTTTATATGTTTTCGAAAAAAATAATTTTTTCTCCTGAGCCATATAGGACAGGTTCAGTTTCTTGCAGTTGAAACACCTTATTAAAGGGTTTCTTCCAGCAGATTCTAAAAAGGCCTGAAGTTTGTTTCTTAATAAATTAACCTTCGTAATAAAACAGATTTTGGAAAAAATAGCTCAATTTCTCTGACCTGTGAAGAAGGAACTGTGAATGCTAATTCTTCTGTGAAAAAAAGGAATTACAATATAAATACTTTTTTACCTATTTTAACAGGTGTGACAAGTGTTGGTGCTATGTTGGCATGTGAACAAATAAGTTTAGTTTCACACCCGTGCATTTCTAGGCTCCAGCATTGCATTAAGAAAGATTTTGTTTAGGTTCTAATAATATAGAACGACCCCTATGTTTTTGGTCTTCTGGTTTTTTTATAATTACCCTTAAATGAAAATAACATTTTTGTTTCTTAAGAAATGCTTCTTTCCCATTTGAAAATGGGAAAGATCTAGATCCCCTGGAGTGTTACAGACCATTGCTGTGGGGATGATTAGGTCACAGATACGGGACTGAACAGATCCGTTTTTTATGTAAAGGTCCCTGAAAATAAAAACTTGGAACATGAATAAAATGTGGAAGCATGCTGTGCTCTCAGCAAAAATCACTCCGAACAGAAAGGTTTTCAGGCGATGAGGCGTCAGCAAGTCTATTATCAAAAACAAAACTCGCAGTGCTGTAGGCAGACTGTACGCGCTACAGCACAAGCAGATAGAAAATTCTGATTCACAAGCAGGCATTTCAGGAACTGTGTGGGAGCTCACGTTGCTATGCTTGGGGAATTTTCAGGTGTTAACATTTCTGCTGGTCACACGTCTGACTTTGCCTTTGCTGTACCCAGGGGCTTACCACCTCCCATGGCGTATTTCCAAGTTGTTGGGGCTTTGGATAGCTTCCTTGTATTTTGGGTATGAACCATTCAAGTTGTATACTGTCCAAGAGGTGCACCGCCTGTGGCTTTGCTTTAGTCCTCTCCTGTTGTGTTTTTGATAAACCTTTGGCAAGGAGAAGAAAAGTTTAAGGAAACATACACAAAGCTCTGGCAGGCTATGGGAAGCACTGGACTCCATAATTGCAGAGATTGCTGCACCTTAGAGATGTAAGAATCATTTAGAGACTTTTCTCTTGTGGCTGAAGCTTTTAATGGATTTAGCAGCAAATGCAGGCATCTTCCTGTGTTTTTTATTGAATAAGCATGACAGATGTTGGCTCTCTGTAAGTTTTACTCTTTTCCTCTCTGGCAGGTTGGAGTGGAGGTGGGTCCGTGGTAAGAAACAACAGAGTCCTTTTCCATCAGCTGGAGCGGCAGCGCAGCATTGTTCATTATGTCTACCAGAACATGCTGGGAGGCTCCATTCGGGCACAGCTCAGGCAGGTGAGGAGTTTCTCCTTCATAGACATCTCAGCTCCCTACGTAAAAACATCTTGAATGCACGCAGGGAAACTTTAAAGGGGCTTAAAGTTCCTCACATACACAGTTTGTGGCTCTAAGTCTGGCACACTCTTAACGTTTCTTAATCCTGTAAAATGCAAGAACTAAGATGGCTTTCCCTTTTGGTTGACCTGGCCCTGTCACTCTACATTTTACGCCTCTGTTAATTCTGTGCTTCCTTGAATCATATTTAAACTTGCCCACTCTACCATTTGACTTACTGCACAGTGCTACTTTTGCACACTAATCTGACTGTTTTGTTGTACTATTTTTGTATCCACTCCTCTTTGCTAATCATGTCAGGTTTACTGTTGATTTTTCCTCTTTACAGACATATTCCATCAAGTCCATGATGTTTTACTGTTTTCAGAGCCATACTCCTTCTTTCGTTTGAAAATTAACTTTTTCTCTAACATCCATAGGTGGGAAGCACCTGGGCTAGCTTTATCTTCCATATGATTTATCTATTTTAAGTATCCAAATGATATAGAAATCGCCAAGCTCATCCAAGCAGAACCTATTCCTCAGCTGAATAACAATACAATCATGTCATGGTTTCTCATTCACTACTTCGAGTGTTCTGTTCACTCTTACGCTGTATAGTTGAGCTGCAGGCAATTTGGATGGAGGACCATAATATTGTATCTCTGGATGATGTGTAACATTTTGGGATGCTTGGTAAAGACATAGTCGTAAGTGCCTTTTACTGGTGTGGAGACATGTTCTCCTTCCTTGTTAATGTTAATTAACCTGCCTTTTTAGCTCAGCCCATGAGGCTTAACTCCCTGTACCTCACTTAAAAGTATGATATCTCTCAGTTCTCTGTTGCTTTCTGAGTGCTGTGGCTGATGTGGATTTGTGTGCTCACAGGCTGTTTCCCTTGGGGATGGCGTGTTCTCTTCATTCTACAGAGAGGCTTAGAATTTTGTGTGAATGTACTAACATTAATGGCAATTAGAAATTGTTAGCCCTCCTCATTCAGAGAATCTCGTGGATCCCCGCAAAAGTCATAATTCTCTTTATCTTTTTAACAGTGTCTGCAGCTGCCCTTTCTGCGTTCTCTTGCCTCATACCGCCTCTTTCGAACAGCAAGTCCCTTTGACAGGAGAGTGACATGCCTGGAATGGCATCCAACACACCCCAGTACTGTAGCTGTTGGTTCCAAAGGTGGAGACATCATCCTTTGGGACTATGAAGTACTTACTAAAACCTGCTTCATAAAAGGGGTAAGCCTCTCGGTGTGTGGAATGGGTGGGAGGGAAAATTGGAGTACCACCAAATACTGCAGATCAAAACAGGTCTGTTTTGAGAAGAACATAAGGGTCTCGGGTTGCAGAGTAGCCAGCTATGGGGCAGGACTGAGATACAGCAGCATATCTGTTCCTAAGTCCCAGACTATTCTAGCACTGGGGAGAACTGAGGCGTGTTGATTAAGTTCATAATGAAGCAGTACTCTGTGTGTGCTCTGTGGAAAAATAATTCAGCAACTGGCAAAACAGTTATCTTAAAGGGATGCCAGAAACAAGTAGGCAGAGAGGGTTTGTCTGCTTTAGGTCTTGACCTTTCTCTGCTCACCTTTTATTCTGTGTCAGATGAGGAAACATCTTTGAGTGGGGAGAAGCGAAGTCCCTTTATCTAAAGTGAGAAACTAAGGTAGAATGAATGGTTTATATAGCTGGCATGCCCCCTCGTATTCAGCCATTCCCATACTGACAGGGGCTCAAAGACTCTGTAACTTTTGTCCCCTTTCTAAATTAACATAGGTATACACTGCGAGGAGGTCTATCCTCCAGAAATTCCAGGGTCATCTTTTTCTTTTTGTAAGTAGCGTGGTGCCAGCCAGCCAGGGAATACATTGCCTGGGGACTGAAGGAGTTGCAGTTTTGTCCTCCAGGAGGGCAGCTGTCCAGACAGCTGTGGGAAGACATGGTTGTCTTTGCCTCCTTGAAGGGCTGTGGTGTGTTTCACTGTTGCTGTTAAGGACATAGCAGTGAATGCAGACTTACAGAACACACTTCTCTCCTTCCCTGTCACTCAGTGGATTTTTCTTTTGTTCATCCCCTTCCTTGTAGATGGGAGCTGGAGGGGCCATCACAGGAATGAAGTTTAACCCTTTTAACCCTAGTCAGCTGTACACTTCGTCAGTTGCCGGCACTACCACCCTGCAGGATTTTAATGGCAATACTGTCCGGGTCTTCACCAGCACCGAGGACTGGGAGTAAGAAATACAGCAATGCTTTGGGCCTCTGTGTCCTGCTGGCAGGAGCGCTACAGAGAGAGAGAGAGAGAGATGTTTGTCTCTAATGTGTGGGAGCGGGGCTTCCTCTTCTCCACATACATGTCCTTTATCCTCTAAATTTCAGGGATCCTCTCTCTTCCAGGGAGGCTCACCCTCCCTTTTTATTTTTCCCTGAAACGGGGTGGTGGGTAGGAGAGAGCTTTTCTTCATGAAGGGGAGGGACGCTCCGATGCTGCTTACTTCCTGTTGTACATGGGAGAGCGTGGGGGTGCCAGTGCATTTCCTCAGCTGTCTTAAACCTCCCATAGCTCTGTGCCCCGGGCACCTTCTGACCTCTTCACCTGTTAGCAGTGCTGCTCCTTGTCAGATGGTTTTTACAGGACAATTTATAGTCCCCTCAGTGCTTCTCCATAAACGCCACTGACTTCAAGTGGTGTGTGTCATAAGGATCACCCCAAATCATCCCACCTAACTTTTGGTGCTTATCTAAAATACCAAAATTAAGAGTCTGGGCTCCTTCAATAATGAGTGGAAAGAGGACATGAATTGCTAGAGGCTACTCTGTCTGTCTGTGCTTAGAATCACCCTCTCAGACTGTTGCTTTTTCTGTGGACTCATGAGGAAGCCTGAGCTCTTCAATTAGTTACTTCAGTTCAGTGCTTAAAGGTAAGTGAGGGAATTTGGGTTAGCCTCCTCTTTACTTTTCCCCACCTGATCCTTTCCGGGTGGCAACCTTCATGGTTGGTTTCCAAATTGGCTGTTCCAGCTGCGACCTTGTAATAGGGCAGAAGGTGAACCCAAGTAGTGCTGGGAGGACTGGCCAGATGAGCAAGGAGGGGTAGACTGGGTCCTGGGACATGAGGATCTCTATCCCAGTGGGATGCCTGTCACAGCAGTGATGCCTGGATTTGAAAGGGCATGCCACCCTCCTACTGCTGGGAGGAGAGGCAAGCTCTATGGGCAGGCCTTTTTTTATTTTCATTGGCTTCTTGAAATCTAGTACTTAGAGTGAGACTTTATTAAGTAGTTGCTCTGTGAGCAGCAGATGGAGTGCACTTGAGTATTGAAGAGTTTGGGGGCTCCCAGCTAGCATGCTTCTTTTCTGTCTTTGTTCAGGGTTTCCATACTTCCTCAGTAGACAGATTGGGGGAAAACAACATAACAAAACAACATAACATAACGACGATAAAACATAACACAGAACATAAGATTCCTGTGCCATGGGGTTAGCAGTAGGATTTCTCCTTGCACCGCTCTCATCCTGCCTGCTGGTACCTTGAGAAAGACCAGATACAGCACTGGAAGCAGCCTGTAGGGAACTGGTGAATGAAGTCTCTGTAAGAAAAGCTTTGTGCAGGGCTGTCATGCGATTTTATGTGGTTTCTGCATGGAATGGTGCTGGGTTTGCTTGTGATCTCCTAAGCCTGGTCTGAGCTAGATGGTTCACTGCAATTAGTCCTAACCCTATAGCAGAAGCAGCAATGCTGCTAATGGGGTTTGCAGCCCAAAGTGCTGGGGTTGAACTTACAGGCTCAGAATGTATGTGCTCAGCTTGGAAAGAGATTGGAAAAAAAGAATTCTTATGTACGTGCCCTGTCAGAAAGTAGTGCATTGTACCTAGGGAGATTGGCAGTGCGTTCCAGGAGATGAGCATTGTATTAAGATTTTTGTCTTCCACTCTAACCTTGATGCCCCTTGGCTTTGTGTGTATTCCAGAAAGGGCCAGGAGATTCTCTCGGAGACATCAAGTTCAGTCCTTATGAGGCAGTGAAGCTTTATGTGGCATCAGGGGATGGCACCCTAAGTCTGCAGGACCTTGAGGGCAGAGCGGTGCAGGTGATTTCCCGTTCCCCGGACTGTGGCCATGAGCACCATAATGTTTGGTGAGAAGGGAGCAGTGCAAGGTTGATTCTGTGTTCCTTGGGGTTAATGCTGTGCTGCTTCTTGTGCCCTCTAACATCTTTGCCAGTGTTAGGAGACTCTTGGTATGAATTGGTTCTGTGAGGGAGCTTGGAGAAAGGCTCCTGCTCGTGACTGTAGCACTGCAGAGTGGGTGACAAGCAAGGCACCACAGGGCACTTACGCTTTTACAGTAGCTGAGCGTGCTGCCTGCATCTTCTGGTGTTGCTTTCTGGTGGCGCCATCTCCTGTCTTGCAGATACTGACAGCTTTTCCCTTCATAAAGTGTGAGGTGAGAAGAGCAGGATAACTTCCTCCTCTTCATTGTCATCAGTGTTCTGTGTGTTTTGTCTGTAGCAGCTCAGGTAGCATAGGAAAGCCACAAAACATTCCTGCACAATCTGAGTTTCAGGTTATTGAGTTTACCCTGCTGCCCTTCTGGAGGCTTCAGGCTCGCTATGCTAATTTCCAGGGCCTTGAATTCTAGAATAATTTATCTTTGCAAGTGAAGCTTTCCCAACAAGTTCCCAAAGGACCCAGGTTTTGTTCTCACTGCACTTCCCCTCCCAGCAGAGCTGGGATTAAGACATATGTCTTTATCAGATAAATCTCTATTCAGTTTTGTTTCCTGGAGCATGAAGTTGAAACAGTTTGATGTGCAACTTTCCAGTCCAAAGCTTTTGTCTTTTCTTTACTGCTGCTTCAGTGTTTTGTGGAAAATGTCATTTTAAAGCTGTTTCTGTACATTTGTCAATGTCACAAGGTGTTCTGATCTTTCCCAAGGTGCAGGCACCAACTGGCTTTTCAGCCTCTAACGTTCCACTGTCCCAGTGTGTCACACTCCATCTAATGAGCACTTCACAAATGATTAGGAAGTTACTTTATATTCAGTCACCGACAGGAAGCATTGCTGTTAAGCTGCCCCCCTTCCTGATACTCAGGCCCACACCATCAGGCAGTTACAATCTGTTGCAGTCTCCCTTGTCAGGGACGAGATGTGAACCAGAGCTCCGCTGCCTTCACTTGCCTGTGGAAGGCAGCACTGATCTTGTGTCTTTCCCTCTAGTTGCTGGTACTGCAGTGTTGATGTTTCTGCAAGCTGCCGTGCAGTGGTGACAGGTGATAACGTGGGCAACGTGGTCCTGCTCAGCACTTCTGGTGAAGAGGTTTGTATGGCTCCATGCAGTGTCCTCTCTTTGGGAATCTTCATGTGCTTTCCTACACTACAGGGACCCTGAAAAGAGGAGCAAGTACCTTGCAGCTTGGGAGATGAGTCCACCCATTGTCTAGGTGGTGAGAAGTCCTCCACTTCTGCCATTCATTAGACATTTTCACATTGTTGAGCATAACGGTAACAATTCCCAAACGGACTGTGTCATGTGCTACCCCTTCCTTAAGAGCATTTGCTACTGGCCAGAGTAATTATAGGGTAACCTGAAGATGTGAGCACCCTCTGCCAACGACCTTCACAATTCCAGAAACTTGGTGCACTGATGGGAGTCGTTTAGGAGATACTGCTTTGATGTGTACCCTTCCATGACCTTGGAGTAGGTACACAACAGTAATTCAGCGAATGTTGGGATAGAAATTGCACTACTGCCATTAGACACGAGAGGGCAAGCAGAGGCAGACTGCGCCTTCGAGTCTGAAGTAGTACTGAAACATATTAGAGAATAGTTGGAGTGGGCCCTGCTTTCAAGAGCCTGCTGTACCCTCACACTGGAATTACCATTTCTCCTGCCTGTAAGGGTAACATCTGTAAGAGTTTGCCACCCAATGAGCTGTGGCCAGAGGAAGCTGCGTAAATTAGTGGGCAGAATCAGGAGTGCTCCAAATGATTTGCGCTTATTCAAGGTTAGTTGCTTCCTTTCCTTTTTTTCTCCTGAAAGAATGTGACAGTCTTTTCTGCACTTGGGAGATACCCGTTATTGTAGGGAGGATGGGCCATCTTCACCCTTTTGATTAGAAATAACCTTCTGGCTTTGGATATGAATTTATTCATGGCCAGTTTATATCCATTTGTTCTTGTTAATTGAAATATTTCTCTTACCCTCATGTTTCTTTGCTGATGTATTTCTAGAAGCCTATTACATCTCCTCTCACCTTTTTTACTAAGATAAACAAAGCAAGCTCTTTTGGTGTTCTCCCACAAAGCAGGCCCTTCCTTCCTATTATTATCTCGGCAGCACATTTTCTGAACCTGTTCCAGTTTGTTTTAATCTTTCTGCAGGTGGAAAACTGGCACTGCACAAAGTGTTCCAGATGTGATCTTGCTTTGTACAGTGGCGCTAATAGTTCCCTCCGTGAACCAGGGATTGCATTTTCTTTTCTCACAGCTGTAATAAATTGGTGGATCAGAGTTCTCCTAGAATTAAATAGTTAGTTCCCAAGGTCATTCTTCTCCTTTCTTGTTTCCAGTGGATGAACTCTTGGTGTATTTTAGAAGTTTTGTTACTGTGTAAATGTGTGACCTCTTTACTCTGCACTAGTAGATGATTATTCCATTTCTTTACTCCAGACCTTGATTATTTTTTTCTGTGTTATCTTCTGTTTCCTCTGATGTAGATTTGGAAGCTGAAATTGCACAGGAAGAAAGTGACTCATGTGGAGTTTAACTCCCGATGTGAGTGGTTGTTGGCCACAGCGTCTGTGGATCAGACAGTCAAAATCTGGGACCTCAGAAACATCAAAAACAAAATGAATTTTCTTCATCTGCTTCCTCATGACAAACCTGTCAATGCGGGTGAGTTGAGATAAGGATTTCATTGCAGGGACGTCTGCAGAGAGTCCACTCGGCTCAGCTTTTATTGTCGTGGCAATGTTAGCTTTTGCTCAGTTTCGAGGTTGCACAGTAGCTAGTGTTAAAGCTAGGAAGGCATTGGGAACGTGTGGCCAGAGCCAGGGGGGTGGATAGGGCAGCTGCAGCTTGCTTAGACTTTGTATGGCAGTCTTAGACTTGCCACACGAACTGTGGCACTGTGCCTTGAGAGGTGAGTGTGGAAGCATCCGCAGTGGCTGAGATTAGAAAACTGAATTTATTGGGGCAGTTCCCTCGACAAAAGCAGAGCATGGGACTCAAAACCTCTGTTTCTTGGGTGCAGTTTTACCAGTTCATGGATGTCCAAACTGCAGGTGTCTGTCTGCAGCTTTTCCACTTCCCACTTGAATGAGCAAGTTCCTTTCTTTGCAATGTCTTTCTGTGATTCTAAAATGGGAATAATGATTCTTCCTATGTAACCCAGCACTGTAGGTTTCAGCTTACTGGTTGTAAGAGGTTTGAGTTTGTTTGAGACAGGTAAATCTTATCTGTTGGGACACACGGCCATATTCATATCCTATTAAAGAAACAGCAATGGGTTTCCAATGAGAGAAATGTGACTTTTATGTTTCTTGTCAATCACAGCATTGTGATTTTTTGTTTGCCTTACTGTCCCCCTCTCCTAGCTTACTTCAGCCCAACAGATGGTGCCAAGCTCCTGAGCACAGACCAGCGCAGTGAAATCAGGGTTTACTCATCTTCAGACTGGACCAAGCCACAGCATCTGATCCCACATCCACATCGGCAGTTTCAGCACCTCACACCCATTAAGGTAAGTTAAGCCAGTGCAGCCTGAGAGGAGTGCCACGCTTGATGCTAGCAGCCGGCTGTACATCAGAAATGGTCTGATTTCTGGTCAGGATACTACATTGGTGGGTGGATGTTCACACTTCTGCAACTCCCAGCAGAGCACTGTTCTGAGGATACCCATGTTCCTCAGGCTGTGGGTGGGATGTACAAACGTTGCACACACTGCCGGTTGTCTGGTGTGTGTCAGTAAGCTCTGTCCCTTTCTCTTAACTCCCCATCACTCTGCTCTATGACTAGGCAACATGGCATCCTCGCTACGACCTCATTGTAGCAGGTCGCTACCCAGACCCTAAGTTCCCAGGGTACACGGTGAATGAGCTACGAACTGTTGACGTATTCGATGGAAATACCGGGGAGATGGTTTGTCAACTCCATGATCCAAATGCTTCTGGTATCATCTCGGTGAGTTGAGCATTGCAGCTAAAAGGACCGCTGCGTATTGAACCGCAGCCAAGAGATGTGGGTTAGGGACTAGAACAATAGGAGTATCCTCTTTACTTGTGACAGACTCACGCTCTCGTGGGGCTATGGCTGCCAGCTAGAGCTGCTGACTCGAGCAGGGCTCGTCCATGGTCATCTGTGGGTTTTCTGTGATGCTCTTTAGGGAACATTGGGTTTTCCAGATGGTTTGTTGCTGTTACGTAAGCCGTGGTGCTCTTATGACTCTGTTATATAAGCAATGATGCTCTTATAGACTCTGACTGCGTTTCCATTTTCAGCTCAATAAATTTAACCCTATGGGAGACACGCTGGCTTCTGGCATGGGTAAGTAAAGAGAACCTGGGGCACTAAGCACGGGTGGGTTCCAGTCCCAGAAAAGGGCAGACTTGTTGCTCCAGACTAAAGCAAGTTGTGAGTGAGGGTTTCCCAAATCCCACTTGCTAGTAGTCCTCTCTGATTTCCTACATCTGTAAGAGAAATCAAGACTTTCTTTTCAGTCTTCCACCTTTGCGGTTAGAAAACAGGTTGCTAGTCATCTCCTGTGTAACATTCCCGGGAGGATGAAGTCCGGAGGGCAGAGAAGCCTCCCGGCAGCAGGGAGTTGCTGCCATCTGCCAGCCTTGTAACAGCAGCAGAAAACGATGGGGTGGGGGGGAAGCCCTTTCCTGCTAGGCTGTACCCTCTCCCTTCGTTTAGTTTATCTCATTTCCAAGGCTACAGAGCCAAGATGACTCAGTTTTTCGCAGGCTGTATGGGATTAAGGGAGCTGGCTATAGATTTGGGGTTTAGACCTGTGAGATTAGGCGAGATTAGAAATTACTTGATTATGTTTCTTAATTAGATTAAATTTCCAGGGCTGTGTGGAGATAGCGTCTGCAATAAATATCTTTGCATCCTCTGTACCTTGGAAATATCTTAGAACAGACAAAGCATTTTGAATTTCTGGCATTTAAGTGACATAGCCTAAGGTATTATATTTGACGTAGAGTTTCTGATGCAGAGTGTTCAATTTTTCCTCTCAGGCTTTAATATTCTGATCTGGAGCCGGGAGGAGATGGTGGCCAAGAAGCAAGAACATCTTTTGAAAGCCATGACAGAACAGGGGATTGGAAGCTGGAGTTTGTCCAGACGTGGAGGGCAGAGGCAGGCGAACCCTGGGACAAGCAAGCTCAAAGCTAACTTACTGTCTTGGGAACTGGAGGAGATGAGAACAAAAAACGATTCTAAATCACAGGGAAGGAAGCGAAAAGGGAAGGATCTAGATAACTGATTTAGTATTTTGATCCTTTCTGGATCACAGGGTACAAATTCAGTGTTGGCAATGGGCAGTATAAGCCGTGCAGGGCATTAGACTCCTATTTTGTCCTTCCTCCCTGGATCTGATCTTGCTTCCCTGATTGCCTTTGCTTCCCCTTCTAGAAAGTTGTGTCCGTACTCAGTTCCTCCTCCAAGTGGAGTTACCACCCATTTTCCGAGGCACTAGGAAAACTTCAAAGATTTTGCTGAAGTTACTGCTTCCATGTCACATCTGTTTGACAGAGGTTACCATCTCCTGTAGTCTGCTGTGGAGCAGCTCATGACAGGGTCCTCAGACTTTTCTAGTCAAACTGAGCTGAGAAACCCTTTGCTAACAAGGTTAACGTCCTGAAAAGGTAGAATGTTCACAGGGGCAAGGCGATGGGTAGCCTAGGGAACACCGACCTCTCCCACATGCAAGCTTCTTGGAAAACGTGCATCTGTCAAGACCTCAGGCTTAGCCTATTCTGTGCTTGCAGCTATTCAACTAGACCACGAAGAACATGATGATGCCAGAGCTCTTTACCTGCCTCATGGGATGCAAGGGCAGTGTGGAGCTGGGAACCTACTTATTCTGTAGTTTCTATTTTCAGAGCTCTAGGCTTTTTCTTGCCACTGATTAGGTAATTCTTTTCACCCATGCCAATGTGCTTCAGAATGTTGGATGAAAGTGTTGTAAAGCAGAAATGGGGAATTTCTTCCAAACACCCCTGCTCAGAGCCAAATCTCAAGACTGCTGTTAAACTGAAAAGTTTTGCTTTTTCTAGTTTGTTTACGAGGCTGCCTGGGGCCTTGCTGCTGTCCCAGAGGTTGATGGATGGGACAGGCTCCAGGCCTGCTCAGATTCTCTATGTTCACTTTTATAGTTTCGCAGTATTGATATTAATAAAGTTTTGTACTAAACTGAAATTCTTCTTTGATAGAGAGTGGCTGCTTTGAGCATTCTGCTGAACTGCTTTTGTGTGGGGGAAGAAGTTATTGACCTTTCTGCAGGAGGGCTAAGAGACCTAGAACAGTGGTGGACATACCAGTCATGGTTCTGTGTCTACAATGGACCCTTCCAAGTTGGACAGGTTGCGTTATAAGCTGTATCTATGCATGGTTGCTGCAGTCAAAAATAGTTTATCATCTGAGTTCTCACCATGGTTGCTGCAGTCAAAAATAGTTTATCTGAGTTCTCACGCTGCTGTAAGTGGGATTGTAAATCAGGAATTTACTTTGGAGGGGGTATACTGCAGTAAGTTCTGCCTGTTTTCCAACACTGAGCACAGTGGTGCTAGCCCTGTGAACTCTTAGAGAAGAAGAGGAGTAGAGTTCAGTGCGAATTTGATTTTAATAATGAAAAGGAAATGTATTTGAACAATTACAGAAAGTCATTCACAGTCAAAATATCTAAATCATCATAGAAACCTTTCCTCTGTGTGTGCAAAATTTGCTGCCTTTAAAAATAACAGGTCTGGTCTTCTGAAATGCACTTTCTATTACCTCTTTCTTGTGCCTGTTCTCACAGGCAGTAGCTTTTTCTTTATGACTGTCTTGCTGTGCAGGAGACCTAGATTGTATCTTCAGAGGACAAAAAGGTGAGGAAGATGCTGAGAACAGCAAGCTGCTTCTGCTGATTTAGAGTTCCCATGCTGTTATGTGGTAGGGAAAAGTCCCCACGGTACTCCATAGGGGAAGAAAAGGAAACGTCTGTAACCTAAGAACTGGCTTCTGCCGCCAAGAGGGGAAGGGAACTGCACCAGAAAGGGAAGTAAAAGTGGGAAGCGAATGTGCAGCATCACCATGTGAAGAGCCTGTGCTTCTGGTGCCTGCTGCAGTCTCTCATTTTCCGCCAAAAGCTACAAGGCAGGTGGTGAACACTTGGCGTGAAGTCCCCTGCAGCAGCTGCAGTGTGCACAGAGAGGCCAGCCGGGAGAAAGAATCACACTTTGGACAAAATACCAAAGTGTGGCAAATGAAGGGCTCCACCATCACCTGCAAACTCTCATCCTTAATGGGGGTTTTTTGTTTGTTTGTTGTCCGTCCAGTAGGGAAGATAGGAAGAAAAACTACAGAACTTGGCATTTAACCTAGTCTTAGGTAAACAGCTCCGCTACATCTCTTTACAGCATAAAAACATTCTGCTAGTAAAGCATATTCCTTGGGCACATAGCTGAAATCTGGACTGCCCGCAGTACTGGATAATTCCCTGTAATAGGTACTTGAAGTTCAGAGGTGGGGAAGTCAAATTCAAAGCCTGAATCTTTTAGGCAAGTTTCTTATCTATGGGGATTCTCCTTTCTAGAGCTAACATTGCACAAGAAATTGGGTGTGGGTTTGCTATGGTCACAGGAATTCATCTCTCTGATGAAGCTCTTGGAGCTTCTTTGGATCATATGTAACCTACTCTGGGCTGAATCCTAGAAACTACTGCCGGGTTTTCAATCTTGTCCTGATTCCAGGCCAGTTCTCTCTTGAACTGCAATGTGAAGAGGGAAAAAAAGACCAGTTGCCAGCAGCAACTTCTTAGCAGCAACCTCAAGAAACACTTTTCACTGTCTGCTGTCATCGGCAGCAGTTCCCTCTGCATGGACAGTAGATGAGTCTCGGTGCATTGTTGGTGAGCTGGGCCCTCTGCTCCAAGCCCAGCCTTCCCACCGTCATCAGCCCAGTGGCTTGAGAGAAAAGCACTCAAAGCAGGTTGACCCTGAAGAGAGATGCAACTCCTGACTGCACGGGATGTGGCAGCTGCTGGAGGCCCAAGCCCCTCTGCCACAGCCATGGTGAGTGGTAACACTTAGGATCACTGAAAGGAGGAAAACTCTTGACCAGCTCCAACTGGCCATGTGGGAATCCCAGACTAGGTAAGCTGTACGAGCACTGGGGGCACCACACAGTATACTGGCTTCAGAATTAACGTGTCATTTCCATGAGAGTAGCTCAGTCCTCTCTCTCTGGGACGTCACCTTTAGAAAGCATCCAAAAATCAAGTCCAGCTTCATTCTGGGAAGCAAGGGCCAAAAGAGAAGAATGCTCAGTAACTGAAGGTGTCCAATCATCCTTGGGGGCAGCACTGCTCCCTCCTACTGCCTGGGAAGGAGTTGAAGCAACTGTCAGGCCTGCTCTTCTCCCTCATTGGAAACATGCCGGTAGCCGGGGGGCTGAGACTGTATGCGAAAGAGTACAGTCAAGAGGAGGATTATAAGGAGAAGGAGAATGGATCCACACACAGCCAGACCCACAAACAGTTCTGCAAGGGAGAAAACAAGTGGTCAACATGGTATCGTCCAAGCTTTCCCCTTCTGCCACGCTCTGGTCCAGCCTGGGCTCACCTGTGTCATGCAGGCTGCTTGCGACCTGGCATTCTTGCTCCCAGTCCTGGGGAACAACAGGATCTGTGAGTTCCAAGAATCTTTGCAGTGGGCATTTATGCTGACAGCCAGGGATTGTCAGTGGGAAAGGTTCCTTCCCACTCTCGTTCCGGAAAAACATCTCCACAGAGAAGTTACTGAAAACAAAACACAGCTAGATGTTTGGTTTTTTTTCCTCCAGCTGAAGTCATCCCTTCCCAAAAACTCAGTGTGCACACCCTTTTCTTTATTCTGGTGGTAGTTTTCCTCCTAAGAGTCTGCCACTAGGAGCAAGACTGCATCCCCCTAGGGTGGTGCCTCGCCTAGGTATCTAACCCTTGGGATGAAATCACAGCAGACGTCTTTACTGCAGCCCTCACCCATCATCCTCCTGGTACAGCTCAAATAAATGACATGAGGCGTATGGTGCTTGAATCTTGTTGTAGACATCTAGAGCCATCTGCAGTGCCACAAGTGTGGTGTCATGCTGAGAAAGAGGGAAAAAACCAAATCAGTCACCCTTATGGATGTGGCAGGGCAGCTCAGACCATACTAGTAACGGACAGGGCAGTGCTGAGGGGACGCCACCTTTGTAACTTCCATCTGGAAGAAAGGAGAGGAACTGTACTGCTAGAACGGTGATCAGTGACGGTGCCAGAGAAGGGGAGGAAGGGAAACACAGCCGTATATATCCTGCATTGTTTTTTACAAATTAATCTCTAGGGAGCAATTTGGGAGAGATGATTGACTTTCCAGTCAGCAGGCTGCTGGAAAAGGGGGGATGACTCTCTTATCTGTCTACACTGCTGGAACATCACTTCTGAGTAGCATCAACCCATCTACCAAATAAATACAGCAGTGGCTCCCCAAAGTCTGCCAGTCTCATCCACAAGCCTGAGCTAACAGGAACAAAGTGCAGGTTGGGAATTTTCCTCAGGGGCCCCAGAGGAATGATGCCAGATCCTGCACATCCCACCCAGCCAGAGGCAAAGATGCACGTCCTGATCACTGCAAGGGCTGTAGAAAAGCCAGAAAGGGTTAAAACTATCACCAAGCCCCAGTCCCCTGTGAGGAGGAGGAGATGGGTGAAAGCCAACTGTCAAGCTCTGACTTACCGCTGAATAGGCAAGTAGTTTCAGGTTCTGGTGGGCAGAAACATTTGCTGCTTTGGTTAGGTTTTTCCTTATGTGATCCAGCAGGACCCCTGAGGAAAGGGAACAGCTGGTAAGAGGCAAAAAACAGACCAGAGCAGCATGAAGCTCTCTCCCTGGTGCACTCACCGCCTTGCAGACGAGCTTTTTCTACCCGATTGTGGATCCCAAACAGAAATTCAAAACCAAAGTCTTTTAGTTGCTTCAATTGAGTCATGACATCTGGTGTCACCCATACAGGCAAATCCATTTTGTGTGCTTGCTAGAAAGAGAAACAGAATACTCATCTGCAGGTAGCAGATCGCAGATTAATCAGAGAATGGGAGTCAGGGTGTGTGGAGTCCTGCCCATACTGCTACTGATTTCCTGTATTATTTTAAATATGCCCCTTTTTTATTTATGCTTCTGTCCTCACACTGCTGTGCTGCATACAAAGAATATATGTGGGTTTTAATGTTGTTTCAGAAACTAATAATGAGAAGCATAAAGATTAAAATCCAGGAGCTACATTTCTGTGAAAGCACAACTGGAATGCAGGGTTATGTCGTAACACCGATACAATAATCTTAGGGCATTTACTTTACATGCGGCTGATCCTGCCCTGCAGATGGCATGCAGTCAGAAAAAAAAA